ATCAACACACAGTCGACTACCTCCATCCTTCTTCACCAACAGCACAAGAGCACCCCACGGCGAAACACTCGGCCGCACCAACTGCTTCTCCAATAGGTCTTCCAACTGACCTTTCAACTCAATCAGCTCGGCAGGAGCCATCCTATAGGGAGCCACCGACACTGGCCCCGCACCTGGAACCAGATCAATGCTAAACTCCATCTCCCTAACAAGAGACAACCCAGGCACCTCATCAGGAAACACCTCAGCAAAGTCTCTCACCACATTTATCTCAGAAATGACCCTCTCAGTCTCCACACTCATCATAGCAAGCAGAAGGAAGCACTCCGCTCCATCTCTCAGCATTGATTCAGCTTGACCAGCTGAAATCAACAACTCATCCTCTTCCTGTGGAAGGGTCAACCGCCGATTGGCAGAGTCTATAAGGATACGATTGGCAGATAACCAATCCATCCCTAAGATTATGTCAATATCAACTAAAGGCAAACAAATCAAGTTTACCTTATACCTCGTACTTCTTCCCATTCGCAACAATAGGGCAGCCAACACACAGCTCAGAGCAACTACTGAAGCAGAAGCGGGCGTCGACACTAGCAGTCTCAACCCCAAGTCACACACAGGCACACCCAACATAACAACACAGGCATAGGAAATAAATGAATGGGAAGCCCCAGAATCAAACAAAAGCATCACATCCTTACCAGCAGCCTTGCCCTTCCCCTTCACTAGGTCAGAAGAAGTCTAAGCCTCAGCACCCGTCAAAGCAAACACCCTACCAGTTGTAGTGGGTCTGTCACCCCTCTGAGTCTCAGCCCTCTGCACACTACTCCTTTGAGTATCAGCTCTCTGCGCATCACTCCTCTGAGTACTCCTCTCCGGTCTACTCCTGGTGGGACAGTTGAAAGACACATGGCCCATCTGCTGACATCTGAAACATCTATTTTCAGTGTGTGGATAATCCTTGATCAAATGGGATCCACCGCACCTGTAACACCTAAGGGCAGCACCTCCACCCTGTCCTCCTCCTCTGGTAGTCTCAGCACCTAATGACAGGACCCCCTTGCTGTGGTTGGGGCCTATCATACGGCTTCCTCTGACTTCCACCTCCTTTCTTGGACCCAGCTTGTCCCTCAGTAGCTCCGATCACACGGTTACCCCCTTCTAACCTCTTCACAATCTTTGCCTTCTCTACTAAGGCCGGAAACTCGGTGATGGCCATAGGCACCACCACCTTCTTCAACTCATACTTCAGACCCTCAGCAAAATTTCTGCACTTCCAGGCCTCAGAAATAGCCTGTGAATAAAAATGAGCCAGGTGCTCGAACCTCATCGCATAGATACAAATAGCCCTCCCTGGTGTAACCGCATGAACTCGGCCTCCTTGGCGTGCCTCATGCTCTCCGGAAAATACTTCTCCATGAACACTGTCCGAAAGCACTCCCAGTCAACTGTAACTCCTCTCGCCACAAGCATCTGATAAGTGCCCCTCCACAAATGCTCGGCCTCTCCCACAAGCATATACACAACATATGCCAACCTCTTCTCTGGAGAACATCCCAGAACGGCAAAAATCTTCTCCAACTCACATATCCAGCGGTCAGCTGTCTCTGGATCTGCATCTCCCGCAAACTGTGGAGGATGACACTTTCGGAACTCAACTAGGTCGCGGCTCTCCTGTGACCCCGTGGGCCTTGCTGCACCAGCTGCAACTCTTTCAGCCTCCATCCTAGCAAAATAAGCATTTTGTTGCTGCATAGCCATAGCCATCATCTCTATGGCACGGGCTATCTGTTCGTTGGTTCTAGTCATCGTCTACAAAAAATAACAGCATCTTCAGTATACTACCACTCAACCAAACAACAATTAACAACATAGCAAACAACACAACAAGACAGCACAACACAGAGTTAACACAACAAAAGCCTAAAGGAACCACCCCAAAGAGTGTCCACTAGACTCGGCCTACTATGATACCACTAAAGTGTAACGACCCGGCTGGCCACTACACTCACAACCACAGTGCACCGGAAACACTAGACAGAATAGAACGATTATATAAATATAGGATCTAGAATATAAATATATACAAATGTCCCAATCCGACTAGAGTTAGGGTGTAAAATACAAAAATACATCCAAAGCCACTATACCAAGTAGCTGAAACAAAAAAGACATCAAAAGGAGCCAGCTCCGCCTGCCAGCCGCAGACTCACCACTAGCCACCACCTATCCTTGCTCTGCTCCCATACATAGTATGATCATCGCAATCCATTCACATGGAAATAACAAAAGGGTAAGCTAGCATAAAAAGAACAACATATAGGAAGATTTAAGTAATATGAACAACTACAACTATCAACACTTCATCAACATACATCCCGTCGATTTTACAGCATAATCATCAATAAGCATACAATGCGTCGTCACGCATATCATCTCGGAGATCTCCTACAACAACTCAGTCTTTCGGCCTATAACAACTCAACCTTGCGACCTACAACAACTCAGCCTTGCGGCCTACATCATCAAATATCAACATACAACACAACACACCTTTACAGCTCAACATATCAACTTACAACGTTAACCACAAGTCATCACATTATAATCAACAACTTCGACTTGAACTCAACATAAACAACCTCTAACATCCATTTGTGAAATCACATCTCCGCGCCCGGCGCACTCGTGGTTGCGCCCAGCGTGATGCAACCAGAGAGCACCAGGGCTAGCGCTCCCAGCGCAAACATGCCCGCGCTCGGCGGGACTTATCCAGAGAGCCCAAGGCTCACACGCGCCTGACGCAATACCAAATTGCGCCCAGCGCATGCCAGGCAGAGACTCCAAGGAGTCTCACACGCCCGGCGTGCCCAAACCCGCGTCCAGCGCGGGGAAGGCAGAGACCCCCCCTTGGTCTCGCGCCCAACGTAATTCAAATTGCGCCCAGCGCCCTCAAGGTAGAGACCTCCAAGGAGTCTCACGCCCAGCGCGACGAGGGTCGCGCTTAGCGCACACCCAAAAGCCCCAAAGTTTGCCACAACTGGTATCGCGCCCAGCGAGGTCTAAGTCACGCCCAGCGCAGACTATCCAGAGACCCACATTCTCAAGCACGCCCGGTGCATCCAACCTCGCGCCCGGCGACTTGCCTAAATGGAGACCCCTGGTGGCCACGCGCCCGGCGCGAAGAACTACGCTCAGCGCGAAGCCAAGCAACAGCGCACCAAGTTCAAAAATGCAGTCCAAAACCTACAAGAAACTTCAGAAACTCCACATGCAACTCAATCAAACTACCACATTTTCATCAAACATCTCAAAAACACCATCTTTTTCAACATGCAATCAAAATTAAAGAAGACCCCAAATTTTCATCAAGAACCTCAAGACTTCAAGAAAACCACATTCTACCAAAACTCAGGCAAAATCAACCAACATCAACAGCTAATGAGTTTGCAAAAACTCATTCTCAACCTATTCCAACAACAAAACTAGCTTCCCTTACCTCGGGGAAAGAATCCGAGCTTCCGGGAAATGGAGCACAAAGGGAAGAAGAAGGAGTTTGAAAACGAACGGAGAAGAGAGACAACTTCAGCTAGCTCTGCCCTAAGCTTGATGAGCACCTTCAAAAACCAAGGCCACCACAAGGAAGATTAATTAGCAACAAGGAAAAGAACAGAGTGAGAGTGAGTTGAGAAGAAGAAGGTGAATCAGCCAAAGTGAGTGAAGGTAGGGTTTGGGGAAGAAAAGAAAAGGAAAGGGTTTCACAGGTCCGGTGACCTGTGCCCAAGATCCATACTTTCTTAGGTTTTTCAGCGGACTGAGAAAATTGACGGAGACCCATCTGTGAACAATGAAAGCCAATTTCACAATCGTTAATAATGTCACGATGAAGGGCATCACAAACCATAGGGGTTGGGTTGGGACTTGAGCCTAGCAATTATACAACATTTCTCTCCACTATGACATCAAACCCAACAATATCCTCAAACCAGCTGAGCCACAGCCAGACCTGCATATAACCAAAATCCAAGCAACACAAAATTGAGACCCAAAGTTGAAGCTTGTCAGAGATGATTTTGAGAGAAAAGACATGTTGTCAGCAAAGCTTAGCCAGGGGGTTTTGGGGGCTTCTATAGCTTGGCGGAAGAAGAGGGATTAAAAGGGAGGGTGAATTTGACATCATCAGCCTCAGATTTTCTGCCACAGCAGCAAAAGTTGTCTTATCTGGCGATTTGAGAGGAGGAATCAAGGTCAGATTGGAAGTGAATTAAGCAAGTGAGAAAACATATGAACGGTAATTTCAGTGGAATCCATTTTATGCTACAGGGGGGCAGTATGGGCTAGTGTGAACTGGGTTATGTGAGTTAATGTGCAATGTTTCTATAGATCCATACCCATAGAGAGATATATCAAAACTTTAATTTCTTATTCAACACTATTTTGTTATCTCCGTCCAATGAACATAAAGCTTTATTAATATCATTGTATGGCCATGCTTAGCCAAAATATATACATCTTGCATCTTCATTGTTCACTTATTTGTTTAGAAGGACCTCAAAACTCAATAGCCACTAATGTTAACAGTGCTACTTGATTTTTATTTTTTTTTGCAGCTTCCACATACAATATATTTCTATATGATTTGCATGATATTGATTGATATGTGATTTTACTATGCACATAATGGAACTAAAATCTAAAACCTATAACTGTGGGTTTCTCTGTATTTTTGTTCTGAACTTTAAAAATTATGCCCTAATGCTAATGTGTTCTACCTAAAAGAAGATTACTCTGTTGAAAATTGTTATCTGACTCCACTTGCTAATTGCAATTTTATTTGTCTGTGATTCGGACATCAAATTCTTTCTTTAATTCTACTTTTAGATTCTTTAAATTTATTTATCCTTCATGTCTTTCATGCCTGTATGAATGGATAATAGACACTTATTAGTTCTGTATATGTTAATTTTTTCTTCTATACTCTTTTGCTTATAAATTCGCAGCGTATCCATCAGAATATCATTTGATTATTCAATACAAATGGCTGAACCTAGTAGCTCTCTGAGGGAAACCACAACCAAACCTCAAGATATAACGGAAACCACAACCAAACCTCAAGTTATATACCGGTGTAAGAAATGCAGAAGAATTGTTGCTTCAGAGGAAAATATAGTTTCCCATGAGCGTGGAAAAGGAGAATCAAGCTTCAAGTGGAAAAAGAGAAGCGGTGAATCCTGGGAAACGGAAAAGCAACCATCTGATTGCACCTCAATATTTGTTGAGCCCATGAAATGGATGCAAGCAGGTACTTGTTAAATTTTCCTCGTATTTTTTTTATTTGTCATAAAATCGTTTTCAAACGTCACACTAACACTGAATATGGATTGGCTTGGAAGTACAAGAAGGACATGTGGAGGAGAAACTTCTCTGTATGGGTTGTAATGCTCGTTTGGGTAACTTCAACTGGGCTGGTATGCAGTGCAGCTGTGGAGCCTGGGTTAACCCTGCATTTCAGCTGCATAAAAGCAGATTAGATGAGTGCTATATGTCAAGTGTAAACGAACCACATTGAGAAAATGGACGTTATCCTTTTTATGAATAAAAGACATATTAGCTTAGCTGGGAATTGGAAGGTTATCTATTACAACTTTATGCTTGTCATTGAATGAAACATTATATATGGGTCTTATTATGCTAATATGCAATGAATATGTTTGGATATAAGTTTAAAAACACTTTTGAGAGTTTTTATGATGCATGGACACGACGTGGTATTGCCATGTCCCAATGTCTTACACTTTTCTTGAGCAGACATGCTGCGGATGCACCATTGCGTTCACACATACTGTGTGACACCCTTTACTCCACGTACATATTATACAATGAATATAAAGTACATTTCTTGAGTAAATAATTTTTTTTAATCGAAACAAGGTTCTAAACACAAAGGTAAAGAGTTCACATTCATAATTTATAAATCATAGTTCAATGTAGAAATTACAACTTGTTAGGCAAGTAGCCATATAACTTAAGAGGGGACGGGAGTGAATTAAGTTTTTCAAGTTTTCCTCTTTTAAGAAATTTTTGAATTTCTTTCTTATAAATTCAATTCCTTAGATAAATTTATCTTTAATAACATTAGAGCCTTGTCAACTCCAAAATGCCCTATGACACCAGCCTCATGACTTCTTTAACAAGGAGTTTTCTAGTGGATCCTTGGGGTATACAAATTCGTCCTTCTCTATACAAATTGATGGAATAACACTAAGGCCAAGAAGACCAAGAGGTGATGTATTGAAGGAGGCAAGAGGAATGGGTTAGTGTTAAAAAATCATAGGAGGAGTAAGCCTACTTTTGGGCCTTAGCTCCTAAGTTTTTATAGCATTTATTTTTATTCCTATTTTTGCCTTTATCTTTAATTTCCTATTTTACCCTTGTATTTTGGGGTATCTTAGTCATAGGATTTATTTTCTTTTGTATTTCTCATTTTAGCCTTGTATTATGGGGTGTTTTAGATCATAGGTTTTTAATTTTGGGCTAAGGTATTTAATTAGGGAGCTAGACACATTTTTGGTGGTGTTTGGACCTATTTTTGGACTTAGAAAGGCTTAGGCCCAAGTGGAGGGCAAAGGTTGCATGGTCTTATCATGCACCTAGATGTAGCCTAACTAAACCCAAAGATTCCATCCTTGGCCACCAAGTTGCATCTAGGGTTAATTTGGGTTTCATTTGGTGTGCATTTGGCACCCTAAATACAACCCTAGATGCCTCCCACACCTATAAATACCCTAGGCACCACACCTTGAAAATACTTTGGAATATATGAATTTGAGTGAGCATTTTTGCCTCAAATCCTCTCCTTAGTCACTAGGTCTACACGGCCTACCTCTCCTATCTCCTCCCTAGAGTGATTTTAGGGTTACCTTGAGTGGCCTTCATCTCCACTTGGTGAAGAGAGCCAACTAGAACACCCACACCATCCTCCCAACCTTTCTCCTATACGCTCAAGACTCCACCATTCACGCCCACCATCACTTAGCCTCACCCTTGAAGGAACGTCCACCCTCTAAGGTCACCATCTTGGCCTTGGAAAGGAGCTCCTCTTCACCATTGAACGTTTGATCATCCCCTTGGTGGAAGGAGTCCATCACAAATACCCTTTAGAAACATAGAAACCTCCTTGAGACTTATGCAAACATTTGTTGAATGTATCACTAAAATCAAATTCATTGGCATACAACTCCTTTATGTGATCAAAGCCCAAAATTTGAGATCCAAGAGAGACAAGTAAAGTATGTCTCCTTGATAAAGCATCAACAACAATATTACTTTTCCCCTTCTTGTACTTGATCACATATGGGAACTGTTCCAAAAAGTTCACCCATTTTGCATGTCTCTTATTCAGTTTGCCTTAACCTCTCAAATATTTCAGTGACTCATGGTCATTATGAATGACAAACTCCTTAGGAACACGGTAATGTTCCCAAGTTTGAAGGGCCCTAACTAAAGCATAGAGATCTTTGTCATAGGTAAGGTAGTTGAGTGAAACACCTTTTAATTTTTCACTAAAATAAGCAATTGGGTGCCCACCTTGAAATAAAACCGCCCCTATGCCAACCCCAAAAGCATCACATTCTAAGTTTTAGAAAAATCAAGTAAAGCTAGAAGTGGAGCATGGGTGAGCTTATCCTTTAAAGTTAGGAAGGCTTTTATTTGTTTCTCTCCCCATTGGAATTCAACATTTTTCTTTACTAAGTCATTTAATGGGGAGGCAAATGTAGAGAAGTTAGGCGCAAATCTCCTATAGAAGTTTGCCAATCCATGGAAGCTCCTAACATCTCCTACACTTTGAGGTGTAGGTCATTCTTGGATGGCTGTGATTTTCTCGAGGTCCACATGAACCCTATTTTTGCTAACTATAAAACCTAAAATCAATACATTATCTACACAAAAAGTACATTTTTCTAACCAAAAAGATGGTTTTCCCTAAGAATTGAAAAGACTTCCCTTAAGTGTCCTATGTGATCACTTAGGCAACTACTATATATTAAAATATCATCAAAATAAACTATTATAAATCTACCTATACAATCCCTTAGAACATGATTCATGAGGCGCATAGAGCATTGGTAAGCCCAAATGGCATGACCAACCATTCATATAATCCAAACTTGGTCTTGAAAGTGGTTTTCCATTCATCTCCTTCTTTGATTGTAATTTAATTGTATCCACTTTTAAGATCAACCTTAGAAAATACTAAACCCAAAGATTCCATCCTTGGCCACCAAGTTGCATCTAGGGTTAATTTGGGTTTCATTTGGTGTGCATTTGGCACCCTAAATACAACCCTAGATGCCTCCCACACCTATAAATACCCTAGGCACCACACCTTGAAAATACTTTGGAATATATGAATTTGAGTGAGCATTTTTGCCTCAAATCCTCTCCTTAGTCACTAGGTCTACACGGCCTACCTCTCCTATCTCCTCCCTAGAGTGATTTTAGGGTTACCTTGAGTGGCCTTCATCTCCACTTGGTGAAGAGAGCCAACTAGAACACCCACACCATCCTCCCAACCTTTCTCCTATACGCTCAAGACTCCACCATTCACGCCCACCATCACTTAGCCTCACCCTTGAAGGAACGTCCACCCTCTAAGGTCACCATCTTGGCCTTGGAAAGGAGCTCCTCTTCACCATTGAACGTTTGATCATCCCCTTGGTGGAAGGAGTCCATCACAAATACCCTTTAGAAACATAGAAACCTCCTTGAGACTTATGCAAACATTTGTTGAATGTATCACTAAAATCAAATTCATTGGCATACAACTCCTTTATGTGATCAAAGCCCAAAATTTGAGATCCAAGAGAGACAAGTAAAGTATGTCTCCTTGATAAAGCATCAACAACAATATTACTTTTCCCCTTCTTGTACTTGATCACATATGGGAACTGTTCCAAAAAGTTCACCCATTTTGCATGTCTCTTATTCAGTTTGCCTTAACCTCTCAAATATTTCAGTGACTCATGGTCATTATGAATGACAAACTCCTTAGATCGAAACATATGATTCAAAAACAAAATCTAACTCAAAGTATGTTGTCCAATCACGGACACATGTGAATGAATGGAGAAGACTCAAGCAAATACAAAAATGCACAAGTTCAAGAGTACCTAAAAGCACAAAACCGAAAATGATTCATAAGAATAGGAACAAGCAAACATGAATCATTTACTTCATACTTGACATATAGGATCCATCAAAAATTGTATTAGAACTAGATCCATGCAGCAAACACAATTTTAAGACATAGAAAAGGAAGAATAGACAACACGGATTCAAGTAAGAAAAGTTAGAAACAAAAACCTCAAGAGCACTAGGCTCTAGATACCAAAAATGATGGAACTAGGTGAGGAGATTGATGATTCCTTCACTTGCTCCATGCTTAGGACCGTGAATGCTATTGAGGTTAAGACTCCAATGACTCTTTGAAGCTCCTTGAAGTGTTCTTCAATGGAGAAGAAGCCTTGAAGTGGCTCGGTTACTCCTTAGCTTGAGGTAGAAGCTTAAGGAACCAAGGTAAGGTTGAAGCACCTTTGGAGAGAACTTAGGAGAGAAAGTTCTCTTCGGTTTTTGTGACTCTTGATTTAGAGAGAAAATTCAGATTTCATTTCTCAAATTGGTCAAAAGTGTTTTAAAATCAAAGAATTACAAGTTTATAGGAGTAGGATACTTAGAGAGCAAGCTAGTCTTGACCATGGTTCACTAGGAACCATGGTTGAGTCTAGATAAACCGTCCAAGGTCAAGAGGCTTGGAGAGCAAGCTTCTCACTTGGCTTGCTTGGTAAGCTAGCCAAGGAGAAGCTTGTGCTTCAAGCTTCCAAGCTTAAGAAACTCCATGAATTTCGTCCAAGTGTGAACACAAGTGTTCACACAAGTGTGAACACAAGTGTGAACACACTTCTAAGGTGGGTGGCTTCTTGGAATTAATTTACTCCTTTTGATTTGAAAATGGTTAATTTGGTTTAGTTAGGTTCATTCAATGGGAATGGAACCTAGCTAAATCAAATCTATGAAAAATTAGGAGTAAAATGAGTCCAATATGAAAAATTTAGCCTAGGACCACCTTTGGCTAAATTGCTAGGAGCACTCTCTAGCTTACTAAGGACACTCTCTAATTTGCTAATGCCACTCCTACTAGAAAACTAAGAAAAGAATGTATTTCTAGGTTAGGTTAAATGGAGTCAAAGTGTCCAAGTAACCTACCCTAGAATCAATATACAATAGCTACTAAAAAGGGAAATAAAGTGCCTTACAAATACAAAGGCAAAAATAACCTATACAAAAGAAACTATGTACAAAACATATGAAAAGGTCTTGAAGATCATCCCATTCCTCTTGGTTCTTTTATGATATCACCTCTTGGATTCCTTGGCCTTGGCCATAGTCTATCACAAACTCAATACTGGTTCGGCCAATCTTGCCTACGTCTAGTCCTCAAGTCTCTAACTTAAGATTTCACTATTCTTGTAAACCTTACAAGACTTGAATCCTCCAACACCTTGGAACTTTCCCTCTTTGTGTTGAGATTCAAAACCATCCAGGAGAAAAACACTTTCTCCTTTACAGATTGAATGATAGAATGAGTTTTTCAAAATAACTCTCTTGAAGAGTAGATATTACATTATGAAGATCCCTAAAGAACTCTTGAGAATTTGCAAGTGATTATGGCC